GCAAACAAGCGTTGTTGGCGGTTACTGAGGCATTTTTATTGTTTTTTTTCGCAACGTAATAAAATTGTCCCACAATTTGCGTTCTGGTATGAGGTGACCTCTTCGAGTAATTAAAGAAATATGTACCCAGTCCTGAGTCCTGCCAGGGCAATTTTCTCTCCGGTTGTAAGCCGGGAAAGAACAGTGGTGTACGGATTGCAAACAGACTACTTTAATAAAAAAAACATATATTTTATTATTAGTTCTCGCATTTTTTACTCTCTTTTGTAGGTTAAATGATTTGTTTGAATATAATTAATAGAAAAACATATGAAATACTGAAATTATTAAATAATGCGCAAACATCCTGTGTTCTTGCTGTACTATTATCACCTTTGATAAGGTCATCACCATCATCGTCACGTAAAAAACAACTGCTACAAAGAAATCAGTTTGTTTCTAGTCCACGAATAGAAAGTTAGACATAAAGAGATGGAATAAGCGAACTTTTTTACTCCGAGATTTTTTTTTGGAAAGTTTTGGTTTTTAGGTTTGGAACCCCCGGCAGGGGCTTATTTATTTCTTATTTTTCTTCCCCCTTGGAAAAAATTTTAAATTGTTCCTTTTGTTGTTCTTAATTTTTCCACCTTGGGAAACTTTTTTCGGTTTTTCCAGGATTTTTCGGAAATTTTTTTTTTTTTATTCACTTTTGTTATTTAAAAATGATTTGACCATTATTTTGACTTCCAAACATTAATTTTGACATAATCAGTACTTCATTTAAAAAATACCTATACGGGAACACTATTGGGAAAATCGAAATTTATCATAGGAGCAATTTTGTAGAAAATTTAATTTTGAATAACATTTCAAACTTTTTTCGAAAAAATGAATCTTTATTGAGATATTGGCAGTTTTGTCACCATTTGTGAATCACCCTGTACATATCAGTTTTCGAAAATTGCGCATTATTATTGCAAAAAGTGATGGCTGTTTATGAAATTTATGGAAAAGACGTCTGCAAATCAGACCCTCATATGATTTTTTTATCTCACCAAACAATGATGATTGATATATGCCGTTCATCAACATTTTCCTGTTAACAGCTCAAGAGCACCAACATTTGATTCCATTTGAAAAAAGTAAGCCGCAAAGGGTTTTTTCTTATCGCCGTTTGTATCCTCTGGAACGGAAATGACAAAGCGACCTCGCACAAGCGTGTGCTGTACAAATATTGTACCCACTACAATTCTCTGGACCAGTGACATGAAAAAAAGTTAAAAGCGCTCTAAATTATATTCTGTGTTCCTCGGTATGTCACTGTTCTCTTTTTACACAAGAAATAAGTGAGCTTTGGAATCAGTGGCCACAGAAAATCGCAAATAAGTGTAGTGGAAGGGGTGGTACGCAATTATTTTTATGAATTACATCCATCTTTCATAAAACACCCAATATTTAAGCAAAATTATTACTTTTTTCCATAAAATAGTTGCAAAAAGACTTAAATTCTATAAAGAAACACCTGATTTCGGTGTTTAACTCGATATGACACGCTTACACTAATATGGTCGTGCTAGGAATCACGTCTTATAACCTTCCTGGAATTTTGAAGATTTTAGCAGTCAGCTTCCATGACGTAAAGCTGTGCAAGCAGTGCGTGGTCTGGTCGACGTCTACTTGTGGGAAAATGTGGAGCACATCGTGGTATGAGACCGCATTAAAACTATTTATATAATAATGTAATGACCAATAAACGTTCCGCTCAGTCATAGTCTGAATAATGTTCATTCATTTTATGGATGTAGTGACGTAGTTGCCAATTAATATCTACAAATCACTTCGGGATGTTTGATTCGGGCAGGGCCGGATTCAGCGCCCACCAGCGGTATTGAAATTTATATCTAATTCTAGTGTGCGCTGTTTTAGACAGATATTTTTTCAAGTTTTCATTCTCTGAAAAGTTTGTCGGGAGCAGCTCTGTTTGAATAAATTGTTGAAAAAGTGATAGTCCAGGGAACGAAGAGGAAAATAAGGTGAATCCTCAGATAGATCCGATTTTTATGACAATTTGGAATTAAGCTTATTTTACCCTGTAGATGAAAAGTTATATATGCTTGATATGCGATTCTTATTTTTAGGGGATGAAAACCACCCCTTATTCTAAAAAACTGAATACATACAGGGTGGTCCCGAGGTAATAGGCCAAAATTCAAGGGTAGATTCCCGAAGCAAAGTATTGCAATTTTGCCGAACTTACCTTAGTCCAAAAGTTGATAGTTAAAGAGATACAGGGTGTTAAATGTAAAATATTATTTCAGTTTTTTTTCATTTATTCCTTAACAAATGCAAATATCCTCACAAAATTTTGGGGTTTGGAGTTCTTAAGTAGAAGAATTGAAATCTGTTCACATGTTGGTTAAAGTTTATAGAGGGCGCTAGCTGCAGTAGATTGAATGTGTTAAAAACGACATAACTTTTTATACTTTAAGATATCTCATATTTGGTATCAAATTCTTATTTTCCAACTTTTTTTAATTAAGGAAAACCATTTGGAAAGTAATAAGTTCAACACAGTGTATCTCGAAAACAAGGCGTCTAAAAAAAACGTCTCGGGAACTACCCACATTATTTTCTCATGGGGAACTTGCAGGCAAGTTTTTTTTGAAACATGAACGGGACCCCTGTATATTATTGACAGAAATTTTTTCAATAGCAATATAGAAAACACATTTTTGAATTTTTCCTTGCTTTTCCTTGCACTTTTTCGTGAATTTTTTCAATTTTTGACCTGTTTTTTGAGGTTAGGAAATTCCTGTGATATGATAACTCAATTCTAGCACCGGATTCGTGATCAAGAGCCAAAAATACTACGGATAACGTACGTCGCATGAAACATACAGACAACTTTTTTTTTGTGTAGCTGTGTTATTGGCGATAAGGTACCGTTGTTTTTTTAACGATAACTTCCTTAATTTTAAGGCTATTAAGACGATTCAAAAACTATTGATTTTACGGAGAATTTCGACAGATAAAAGTACTNACAAAATTTTGGGGTTTGGAGTTCTTAAGTAGAAGAATTGAAATCTGTCCACGTTTTGGTAAAAGTTTATAGAGGGCGCTAGCTGCAGTAGATTGAATGTGTTAAAAACGACATAACTTTTTATACTTTAAGATATCTCATATTTGGTATCAAATTCTTATTTTCCAAATTTTTTTAATTAAGGAAAACCATTTGGAAAGTAATAAGTTCAACACAGTGTATCTCGAAAACAAGGCGTCTAAAAAAACGTCTCAGGAACTACCCACATTATTTTCTCATGAGGAACTTGCAGGCAAGTTTTTTTTGAAACATGAACGGGACCCCTGTATATTATTGACAGAAATTTTTTCAATAGCAATATAGAAAAAACATTTTTGAATTTTTCCTTGCACTTTTTCGTGAATTTTTGCTATTCTTGACCTGTTTTTTGAGGTTAGGAAATTAATGTGATATGATAACTCAATTCTAGCACCGGATTCGTGATCAAGAGCCAAAAATACTACGGATAACGTACGTCGCATGAAACATACAGGCAACTTTTTTTTGTGTAGCTGTGTTATTGGCGATAAGGTTGTTTTTTTAACGATAACTTCCTTAATTTTAAGGCTATTAAGACGATTCAAAAACTATTGATTTTACGGAGAATTTCGACAGATAAAAGTACTGTAAAATTGAATATTTTTAACGCGTTATTTTTGAGGTTAAAGGGTTTGAAAAACATGACCTTCGCCCTCAACTGCAAACTTCTAGCGGCGACATCTCTGTTAATTTTTATCCTACACAAATAAAAAAAAAAAACAAATTATTCTTTGAAAAAAAATCTAAACTTTTGTACTCTTGAATATTTTTCGTATCTTTTTTATTTTTACAGTTATTTTCAAAAATATGTTATTTTTTTGGAATTAAAAAAAATGTTTCAATCAAAATGTAATATTTTCAAATATATGCATTCTAAACCGCTTAAACTTGTATATTATTATGTTATTGTTCGCACATAAACAATGTAAATTGTAAAAGAATTACCTTTAATTTTAAATCTCGTGAAAAATTCATTAGTTTTTGTACTGATTTTTTTTCAAAAAAGCAAATTAACAGTTTTATTTTGATCATAACTCTGTTAACTTATGCTAATGAATTAAAGTCAAGTTCATTTTAAAGATTTTTTAAAGTACTTTAAAATATGTTCTGTGCATTTTTCTTGAAAAATAGAATTTTTTAGTTATTTTACGTTAAATGCTTCCAATTTAGTTTCTGGCTGACATGAAACTATCGTCAGTCAGCTGTATCTCAGCACCTATTACACCTACACAATGAAAAAAACTCAATCTTTTTCTTTTTCTATAAGCTTAATTTTCTTTGTGATGTTTTTTTTTTTTACTGAAAAAGGTCTTTTTTTAATAAAAAATGTACATTTTCAGTCACTAATAACTAAAATATTGACTTATCGGAAAATATTCATACGATACTTTTTGCTTAAACTTGATTGCTTTATCGATTCCTGGGGTTACTTGCGCTCATCTGCACTATACAGGGTAGCCCATCGAAAACGGACCGCAAGGCATTACAGGGTAGTAATGAACTTTTCGGCAAAATCCAAAAACAGGTAAAGTTTGCTTCTNTCCCATTTGAAAAAATTTAGGGGATAGCACCCCCACGTAGGGGGTTGAAGATTTTGGTATGCTTTTTGAGCCAAAAGTTGTCCCTCTCGGAAACAAATTTGACCTGTTTTTGGATTTTGCCGAAAAGTTCTTTACTACCCTGTAATGCCTTGCGGTACGTTTTCGATGGGCTACCCTGTATGTATAACTTATGTTTCTCGAAGCTCTATAATAGTTGGTAAATGAAAATTCATGACCTTTTTGTTTGAGAAAACTTTTTTCCTGCGATTAAGTGACACTTTTCATTACGTAAAGAAACCGCTTTATTTCCAGTAAATTATATGAAGATACTAACAAAAAAAGAACACTTATTGAGAAAAAAATCCACGCTACTTCTTGTTTTCTATTTTTTTGTTTTTAATCGAACCTGGTGACGGCTTCCTGGCCACGGCGCCTTGCTCGTCGCTCAATTTAGGCTCCTGGGTCTTGATTGACACCTCTTCGTCTGTGCTGTCCCTTTTCGACTTCTCCCGGACCTTGGCGTTCGCTTCCAGCTGCTCCTTAGTTATGAGGTAAGGAACCACCAGCTCCTTACTACCGCCTGACACTTTCCTGTCTTGACCTTCGGATTCGGAGGCGGTAGTGTCCTTTTTCTCCTTGCTCGTACCTTAAAAAAAACATTAATTACAAAGCAAAGTGAGACACACACATATCTGACATACTGGGACTGTCGAAATTGAACCAAGCGTCGTTCCTGATCCCAGTTATCCTTATCCTGGACTTGAGAGGCGCGAGGATCTTGTTTATCAACGCCCTACAGTTGCCGGACACCTTGGGGTCCTTGGGGAAGCTGACCTTGTTCGACACCTGCTTCAGCAGCTCCTTGTAGTTGCTGTCGTCGAAGGGCAGCCTCCCGAACACCATGGCGTAGAGCACCACGCCCATCGACCACACGTCTGCGTACTGGGGCTGGTAGGGGATGCCTCTGAGGATCTCGGGCGAGGCGTAGGCGTAGCTGCCGCAGTAGGTCTCGCTGAGGATGGTCTGGCCGTTCTTGGGCTTGACGTGGCCCTTGGCGAAGCCGAAATCGGAGAGCTTCACGTTCCAGTCAACGTCCATGAGCATGTTCTCGCACTTAATATCCCTAAAATGGGGAATAATTATTTTTATTAATGACTTATTTGGTGTTTTTAGTCGAATATTGTTTTAGTTTTTAGATCTAAAGAGCACTAATTATTATAGTCGCGATGCATAACCTAGTGGCGGCTCGTCGGGTGACGCAAGTGACGCACCGCTTCACCTAAAATTTCCGTTTGGTTGTGCAATTTAAAATTATTTTATATTTTATATAAATTTTATAATTTAGGTATAATTCTATATTGAAAATGTATTGTGTTTGTTTGTTTTACACGCAGAAATAAACAGAACAATTGCGCAGTGAACAGCTTCTAAAAAAACATTNAAATTTTTAAAAAATGAAAAATTTGAAGGTTATTTTTGATTTTCAAACTGAATCCGCTATCAGATTGCAAACTTAACTGTACTATTTTTCTAAAAGAGTATTACTTCATTTGCAATTTCACTAAACTTAAAGCAAACCTTAAAATGTTATTTCGTTTTTTATTATCCTAAATATAACAGGGTTAAACTATTACTACATATTCTCTCATATAAACCTCGTTGGCATTTGTTTATTTCTGTAAATATTATAATTCAAATTACTATAAAAAATAACTAAAGTTCCCATTGTAAACAAAAATAAAGTGCATCGTTATTATTCAATTTGTTATATAAAGTCTAAAACACCGAGTAATTTTTTTTGTTTTAAAATGCAAATAGAGATGTTCAAAATAAAGCCAAAGGCGTAGAAAATACGATTTACGAAATGTTGGGATGCTTCAATTAAACCCACAGCAACTTTCCAGGAATCCAGGACCTTGTATCTACGGATTAGTGCGGTCAGTTACCTTAAGCAGCCTACACACGGGGCAATCTGCAGGGACCAATTTGTAGGGTGTTAGAGTGGTGGAAATTGGGTATGACTCTCCACACGGTCCAATCGGTCAGTATGGGAATTTGTATTAAAATGTAAATACGCTCTACCATGGCTCCAAATCTGTGATTTTTTTAACAACAACACGTATTTATTTGCTCCACGAGCCACATTAATCTAGAATCAACCTGTTATTGTCCCAATTGCGCTACACACCATACAATATGCAGGGCGTAAGGGTGGGGAGCAGGGCGGTTGTATGGTCTGCCGAGACAACTTCCCGATATCGGATAGTCGTAAAATAATTGTGACAATTCGCCTCTACATGAGGCAATCTGCAAGGTCCCTGCAGATTGGACCCTGTAGGTTGCCCCGTGTGTAGGCCGCTTAAGGAGGGATTTAACAATCTCGCTTAACATCTGTATCTGTACCTATCATTAAGTCCACGAGCCGAACTAATATTTCTATTTTTTATAAAATCTAAATGAAAATCTTTCTCGCCAACGTCAGTTTTTCGGTGATATTGCAAATGCAACTAAAATTTCCAGATTAATTTAAAGCCGTTTGACCTTGAAAATTTGAAAATTTTCGCGCTTTTTTTTAGTCAATCACTAAATATGCTTCACCTATTCTCAATATCACGAGCCGCCACTGGCATAACCATGCATGGAAAACTTTAAAAACTCCTCTATACAACTTTGGAATCTTTAATAAAAATGCGTCAGGAAGTTTAGAATGGATCAAAACGACTACAAAACACAACCAAATGATTGAAAGTAGCTCCAACAAGGTGTTTTTCAGAGGCAAAGGGCAAACGTTAAGTCGAAAAATTTAGATCTGGGGAACGCTGCGCTGTAGGCGTGCAATTGAACCTTGTTGGCCTAATAGGTCAGGACGGATCTGTCGAAAAATCCACTTCTTGGATATAAGAAGGGGCAAGCTAATTTTTGCTGGAATACCTTCAGTTTAACTCACATAATAAAAGTGTAGGTCCCTAGATCTGGGCGAGGTCCGGAACGTTTTCAAAATTGCAAAAATGTTTTTAAAAAAATTTAAAAATACTTATTTTATCTGAGTTTTTACTTATATCTTGAAAGCTATGCATTTTGAAAGAATATTCAAGGGGGAAAAAAGTTTTAGATTGAATTTTGCACATGTTTAAATTTATTACCGATGTTGCAAAATAGCAATAGTTGATGAAAAAAAAAAGATAAAATAATCAAGTTTTTTGGATAATTTTATTAAAATATTTTAATTGCTCCGAGGGCATTCTAATTTTGGTAAAAAAAACTTTAGATTATCTATAATGAAACAACACACCAAATTTCATTAAAATCGGTTCGATAGTTCTCGTAAAATATTTTTTTTTTTTGAAAAAATATTTTCGAATTTTCAAAATGTTGCACAGCCTCAAATAAAGCATCCAGATACTTGAAAATTGTTTCACATTGAAAAGACCGCTAAACCTTTCAAATGGTTTTTGAAAAATTGAAATCGGTTTATTAGGACGGTCATAGTAAATTTTTAAAGTTAACACTTTTTTATTTTTAAACAATTAGATTGCATTATCTGGGCTTCAAATAGACCAATTTCGACCTTTTTTTTTAATCCGATGTCTCGCGAGCCAAAAATTTCGAATATCGTAATGCTAATGTTATTGAATTTTTTCAATGAAAAAATTTGTTTACGTATATATTTCAACACTCTGAATATGAATGTATTTAGTTATAATTACTACAATTATTTAAATAATTTTTGTTTCAAAAAATAAAAAAAAATTATTTGGAAATTATTTTTTTTTTGTTAAATACAGATAAAATTAAGAAAAAAATAGTGCTTTAAAACTACAATTTTTGAAAAAAATTAAATTACAAATTGATAAATGCAATCTAATTGTTTAAAAATAAAAAAAAGAGTGTTAACTTTAAAAATTTACTGTGGCCATCCTAATCAACCGATTTCAATTTTTCATAAACTTGTTGAGGTTGAGCGGTCTTTTCTATGTGAAAAAATTTTCAAGTTTATTGCTGTGCGACATTTTGAATATTCAAAATTTTTTTTCAAAAAATTATTTTGCGAAAAGTTTTTTTTAATGAAATTTGTTGTTGTTTTATTATACTTTAAAGTTTTTTTTTACCAAAATTAGAATGCCCTCGGAGCAACTAAAATATTTTAAAAAAATTATACAAAAAACTTAATTATTTTGCCTCTTTTCATTAACTATTGCTGTTTTGCAACATCGGTAATAAATTTAAACATTTTTAACTTACAATATATTCTGCAAAATTCAATTCTAAAACTTTTTTCCTCTACAATATTCTTCCAAAATGCATAGGTTCCANTACTTCCTATTTAATTATGTATTTTTTCGAGAGTTGATTTTAGGCGAAAATGGAAGAGGAAAAAAATGTTTGTAATTAAATTTAACAAAATATGACTAGTTACAAATCTAATGAATCATGATTATTATTGGAAAAATCGAAAAAATCGCCAAAAATGGGGTTAAAAAACATTACTTTTTAGGGAATTTTTTTGGAGTCTTTAAATTGGGTATAGGATCTTCATACTTGGCTTAAGAAAACTTCATGTTATGTAGAATCATCACACTAAATTTCATCAAAATCGGTTCGATAAATTTTGCATAATAATTTTGCAATTTAATCACATGTTTAAACAAGCTCCAGAGCTCTCCTAATTGGCGGATTCTAATTTTTCAAAAAGCGTTTGAAAACTTGAGAGCCCTTCTATATGTGATTAAATTTTCAAGTATCTAAGAGCCTTAGTTTTTGCTGTGCAAAATTTTGAAAATTTGCAAATTTTTATTCAAAATATGGATTGCAAAATTATTATGCAAAATGTATACCTAACTTAAAGACCCCAAAAAAATCCCTAAAAAATAAATGATTTTTAACCCAATTTTTGGCGATTTTTTCGATTTTTACAATAATAATCATGATCCATTCGATTTGTAACTAGTCATATTTTGTAAAATTTAATTACAAACATTTTTTTCCTCTTCTATTTTCGCCTAAAATCAACTCTCAAGATACAAAATTAAATAGGAAGAAAAATATTATATTTTTCGAATTTTTTTAACACATTGTGCCGCCAAAAGTTAAGCACACATTTTTTTTATGCGCATAGAAAAATTTTCGTTTCTAGTGACATTTGAAAGCCAAAAAGCCAAAAATCTCCGTGGATATACGATTCACCCAAATATGGACTCTTTGAAACTGATACTGTCTGGACTATATATAATAGGTCAAAAATATCAAAAATAGAAGAAAAAAATGAGAAAAAACAACAAAAATATTTATTTTCCACATTTCTTAGCATAGCCATATGTAATTGGGCGCGCTGAATCCAAATCCACCTTTAGAAATCACACAGCACACCTCTTTTTTTTTAACTTCAAAAAAATCGGCCAGAAGTCGAGGTTTGCAAGAAATTAATAATAGAATCATGAAAAATTTGGTATGTAGGGAATTTAGGTTCGCTAATCACGAATTTGAATTCAAAATTGCAAAATTCAATTCGGCGGATCCAAAAAAATATTTGATTTGATTAACGTTTGATTGGTTTAAAAGCATTCGTACGCGAAAACTATCTCTAGATCCGGACTAGGCCGTAAACCACCGGAATTTCCGTACCTGTGGACGACCCCCCTCTCGTGGCAGTACTCCACAGCGCTCACCAGCTGCTTGAACCACTTCCTAGCCCTAGGCTCGTCGATGTACTGGTCCTTCCTTATGATATCCAGCAGGCTCCCGTTCTCGGCGTACTCCATTACGATGTACACCCTGTGAGTCGTCTCGATGGCTTGCAGGAACCTGATGAGGTTGGGGTGCCTCAGCCCCTTCACCACCTCGATCTCCCTGGGCAGGAACTTCTTCAGGTAATCGGCGGGGGCGGAGAACTTACTCACGATCTTGATGGCGACGTCTCCTTCATGTCTCTCGGAATGGGCGACCCTGACGGTGGCGTAGGAGCCGGTGCCGATGGTTTTGCCCAGGTAGTAGCCGTGGGACTCGAGCACGGAGAGCTTCTTCTCCTTCTGTGCATCGGAGGAGGACTGGGTGACGCTGGCCAACGCGGGGGCGGGGGCGGAGGGCTGGTGGACACTAGCAACCGGGGAGGGCATCGCAAGCGACCGTTTACCATTTTCCTGACGTGCGTGCCTTCATTTTGACATAGAATTTTGACGTAGGGGACACTGACGTGTGTCGCGACGTTTTGCGGCGTTCCGTAAAAGTCTCGATATGGGAAGAGCGAAGCGTAGCGATAAAGTCTACGCTGAATTTGCGATGACGTCACTAAACATCCTAAATTCTTGAACTATACCTACAGGGTGTCCCATTAATATTGCGAAAAAATTCAGGGGGAGTTTCCTTGACCAAAAATAAGAAAGAAAGATCCTATAATAGACCGATCAAAATAACTCATTTAGAGGGAAAAAAAAGAAAATTGTTACCTGGACTTTTATAAGTGGAAATGGTAAAGAGGCTTATAATAAACGAAAAAAAAAATAAATACGTGAGCAGGGGTGGCGGAGGGTTGATTTGAGGGGTTGAAAAGTTGTGAAAAATTGTATCTTGGGATTTCTGATGAAAGTTGACGTCAAGCAAAAAAGTATCTAATACAAAAGTTGTAGATCAAAATCTACAATTTTTGTAAAGGTCATTTTTTAACATAACCTCAAAATTTCCGAGAAAATGCGAAAAACAGATTTTTCGTTTTTTATTTCTCATTTCCGTAAAAATAATTTAATTTTGTCGAAACTTGGTGAAACTATAACTTTCTCTGTTTTAAATAACCTCAAATTTTTTTAGATAAAAAAATCGAGAAGTTTCTGAGATATTCATTTTTGTCGGCCTGAAACACTGTTTTTTTCAAAGAAAAATTCTACTTAAAAAAATCATCGTACAGAGTTCTGCCGGTAATAATTTTTTTCGTTTTGACATACACTTTTTGGTGAAATAAAAAAAATTGTAATCACTGTTCAAAAACATGCTCAAAAATGCAAAAAAGTAAAAAATGACTTGCAGCAATGAATTTTTCAGTAATTGTTGATAATTTGTTTACATTTAAAAAAAAATCAAAAACTGATTACACCATTCAATTGTACGGAAAAAATAAAAAAAAAACTGTCTCATTGTTTGACCCAAAACTATTTTTGTACAGTATTGCTATAAACATAAGTCGAATAGTGAATAAATAAAATAAATAATATTTTTTTTCCGTAGGATCGATTAGTGTACTTATTTTTTTTAAAGTTTGATGAATTCATAGATATACAGTGTGTCCAAGATAAGGATGGGATAGCATTAGGATCTAGGAAACGGTAAGAGATACGGGGTGGCTCAGATTAGAAAAAAGTTGTGTTTTTTTATACCTAACAATATGCTGTTTAGAAAGTTTTAAAATTCCGGGTAGTTCCGGAGATATCCGGAAAAACCCGAAATTTTGCAAAATTGTTTAATTTTTTCTGGCTTTATTTGAAAACGAATTTTAAAATAAATTACATATTTACAATGCCACTTTTTTCGCTCTATACAATGGCGTCAACATTTTTGCAATCCGACGTTTCGTCTTCGAGGGGCCATCATCGGGTTAATTTTTTTAAATACGTCGCTGCTATTTTTATGACAAAATCTAGTCATTTTTAATTCTGAATTAGAGGATATTACTATTGTAATCGCTTAAAAAGTTTTTAGCTTGTATTAGCTATAATTTAAAATTTTTCCCGAGTACGGCTCTGAACGCTTTCAAAATATCTATTGGATGAAGTCATAACAGTATAAAAGTCAATACCTCACAAAATATCCAACTATTTTTTATTACTGTTCGCAATACTAATTAGAAATCCAAAAATATTTTATGAATTCGTATTATTTTTTATTAAGTCCAACATTTTAAATAATGGATTAAAAAAAAATGTTGGATATTTTGTGCTGTATTGACTTTTATTCTCTCCTCCAATAGATACAGGTATTTTGAAAGCGTTCAAAGCCGTACTCAGGAAAAATTTTTAATGATAGCTAAAAACCTTTTTAAGCGATTACAATAGTAATATCATTTAATACAGAATTAAAAATGACTAGATTTCATAAAAATAGCAGTGATATATTTAAAAAAATTAATCTGATGATGGCCCGTCGAAGACGAAACGTCGGATTGCAAAAATGTTGACGCCATTGGATAGAGCGAAACAAGTGACAATGTAAATATGCAATTTATTTAAAATTCGTTTTCAAATAAAGCCAGAAAATAATAAAATGATTTTGCAAAATTTAGGGTTTTCGGATTTCGCGTCAACAGTAGACTTTACAGTTAATACTTTGTGTTGCTGAAATCTCAAATCATCCTGAGATAATTTGTCATTTGTGCATTTGTAATTCGACTTAGATGTTTATAGCAATACTGTACAAAAATAAAGTTTTGGGTCAAACAATGAGTTTTTTTTTTATTTTTTTCCGTAGAATTGAATGGTGTAATCAGTTTTTGAATGTTTTTTAATTTAAACAAATTATCAACATTAATTGAAAAAATCATTGTTACAAGTCATTTTTTCTGTATTGGATCAAAAAATGTAAAGAGACAAAAAAGTTGTATTTTTTATCGCGTAATTAGAGAAAAATATGACACCTAAGAAAAAGCAATGACGTCTCATATGTTTACTTAGTAATATCAACAGGAGTGAGTCCCCGGACGCCACTGGAATAGATAAAATAAATCGAATTACTTCAGAAGACGTCTACTGTTTTTATAACCAAACATACCAAATTTTAAAAAAAATCGGAATTAGGGTTCTCCAGATATTAAAGACCTTGTATTTTTTATAAATTTCAACACCCTGTGACTCCGAAACGAAGCATTTTCGGTCATAGGTTTATAGGAACTTTCCTTCTTATTTCTGGCCAAGGAAACTCCCCCTGATTTTTTTCGCAATATTAATGGGACAACCTGTACAGCAGGAACACTCGTCGAACTGGAGAGCCCTCATAAACGATTACAGGCCACGTGACATTCGAGCATAAACAACAAACATTGCACGATTGGTACTATCAACTAAAAACACCTAATCCTCAGTGGAGTGGGTGAAGGGGTTAGATGTAATAAGTCTGGAATTGTCGAACGTTACTTGGCTGGGCCAGTCCTGTACAAGTCATTCTTTTCCGTGCACCCCTACTACTCATTATTTTCGATATTAACAACCCCAATCCGCCTCTCCTCGGAATACTGATAAATCCACACGTTTCCACAAAAATTATTGGTTCATTACTTCACCTTCTGTCGCCTGTTTTCTGACCTACATAGAATCATCGCACGACCTGTCATAACTGGGCGTTTGCTAGTTTTAAATTCAAATGAAATCCTCCCTTAAGCCATCTACACTGTCTCGCGCTTTCGATGGGGCATAATTTAATTTTCCAAGCACTGGTGAACTCTTAATAGTCATCACTTTTTGCAATTTCTGTATAATATCTCAAAGCACTTAATAAACTTGTATATCTGATATTTCCGATGATCGAATTGACTAAAAATGCTAGAGAAAATTGATCCTGCATTGGCAGTGGTCTTTTTCAGCGACCGATACTGTACTTTAGTTAAGTTGGTAAGCCCAAATAACAAAATATGACATTAGAACCACGCTTGCGGCAGTATTGTTATGTAGAGTTATTGGACGATCCTCAATAGCACCAACGCATCTGCTTTTTTCTGTTGCGCATAAACATCGAGTCAAATCTTCTTTGCAACATGCAAACAAGGGATTTTTTGTTGAAATAACGTCACACCAGGATACGGTAAAGGACCGTTTACACCCCAGCGCCGGCAAATTTCCGTAGTTTATTCTGAACACAATTACATCTAATCTGCTTTTAAACGTACAACAAAGAAGCGACAACATCATTTTGCTAATCCGCAACGATGGTTATCATTATCATGAAAGAGTTGTTTACCCAAATCTGATACTGTCCAATTTGCGCACATCGTTAAGGTGCCGGAGTTATTTAATAAACAGCCTACCTGATTATCTCCACGATAATTATGCAGTGCGTCAAATTAGCTTCTCAAACAAATATTTCCAAAATCTGACTCAGCTTCTGACGTTTGGGTTTGTACACGCCTCTGATATAACCGCGAGTTGACTTCAACCAGGAAAATGTATACAGGGTGTGCCGAAATTGCCCTTCAATAACCCCTTCAAAAAATAAAATATGACCTTCAAAGACACGTCAGAAACATTTTGACTACATACTCGCGCATAAAATTTAGCGCTCTGTTGATTGCTGGAATATAAATTGGGTGGTTTATTTTAATTTACATTGAAACTTAAGATCAATGTCAGATCCAAGGTCACCAGTATGTTGGTGTTTTGATATCCCACACCCACAACTGGAATTACTTAGAATTTTTTTTATAGAACTCAACTCTGAAAAGTTATCGGAGCGTTCATATGTTTTTGGGACAACCTGTACTTTAATAGCCTACATTATTATTGTTTTGAAAGTGACTAATCTTCAGCTTTGCTTCTTTGTCAAAGAAAACCTGCCATGATTTTGAATCCGTAATATCTAACAAGCTTTGAAATTTTATAAAAAACTGATTTTTCACCGATAAAGTAAAATATATGTGTGTGACACGATGAAATGTTATAAAGAAACGTTTTTTAGAATGGAAAATTTGTACGTAGGCGTGCAACGTTTACGTAAATTTAACCTATTTTGATTTTTTTGCTTGTTTTTAGATTTTTATCTTCGACACTTACGAAAAGTTATAAACATATTGAAAAATACGATGTTCAAAATACTTCACAATTAAAGTAAATACTTCAATTCACCTTTACGTAAAAACCACTTCAAAATAAAACAACAAACCTCGAAATAACCTTTTAATACATAAAACAATTTCAAAAAAATAGCCAGCACAAGAAAATTGCGAGACATTAAAAATAAAATAACGAAAATTTGCAGAAAATACCTCCCAATAAAAGCGAATAGCCCAAAACAGCCTTAAAAGACACAATAATAATTTCTAGGCGTAATACGATACACAAAAGATCTTCAAGATACATAAAAATTCCCCGAAGAGGTTTCAGAAGAAGAAACAAATGACTCGGTTCTGCGTTTCTGCAATAGT